GCGCTTCGGAGGCTGCGGCGGCCCTCGCTTGCAACTGTTGCCGGCGCCGGAAGCTGCGATGTTCCCGAGAGGTGCCAACATGTCAGCAGTGCCGCAAGACAGGTGGGTCCCTTTTTCCTACCGTGCAGATTATGAATCTTCCTCTTTCCAGGAGTTGACTTGCGATAGGAAGCGATTGTGTTTATGAATCGAAACGGTCCAAGCCGGGGATGAAGGCTGGGGCCATTGAGAACCTGCATCGGAGACTTGGTTCGTCTCGATATGCCGAGTTGCCCTTCTTTGATCGTTACTGATCACAACGTCGAAGATGCGTTAGAAAGGACTGTTCACCAACAACGGACTAAGAATTCATCAAAAGACTGCAGACAATCCGATTCAAATCACTCACCCCATCAAGATGATGCCAGTGGCTCCAATGGCGGCCTCGAAAAGAATGCATATAGCATCATGGCATTCTTCGCCAAAGAGCTACAAAAGTTCAACACTAAAAGCGGAAGCTCACCCAGCGAAGAGCGTGCGGAGACTGAGTCATCAGTACGAGCTAAGCGGCGTCGACTTGATGATCATGAACCTTTAAATATTGCCTTCACGTGTAATTCCAGCCCTACTTCGCCTGTCCTGCCAGATGAAGAGGACCTTGAGATTGTACTCAAGGCTTATTTTGCACACATTCATCCATGGATTCCGATTATACACGAGGCGAGATTCCGCCGTCGACTTCGAGAGCCCGGAGAAGCCAAACTTTTGCTTGCAGTATTACATGCCATGGTCCTTTCTGCGTCAAGATACATATCTGACGAAGATGTTGCGACCAACTTGTTCGGCGCGCTCCAGCAAAGAAGCATCACCCGTGATTGGATCGTGTCAACATCGATGAAAACGTTCAACGTAGAAAGCCACCAAGCTCTCATCATTGTCGCATTCAACGATGTGGGTGTTTTGATATCCGAATCTTCTCGCATGGCACGCGCTGACATAGATAGATTGGAAGTGGTGAGGCTGCAAAAGCCTGGTCTCTCGTTGGTTCACTGACCCGGACCGTCGAGTATCTTCAACTCACCGTCGAACACGACGACGTCGACCGGCCATCACTATCTCAACCTTTCGTTTCACTCGCTCCGCCAGAAAGCTGGACCGAGGCCGAAGAGAGGCGCCGGGTCTTTTGGAACGTCTTCAAGCTCGATAGACTCATCTCAGTCACCATGGGCTGGAACACAAGTCTAACCTCAGACGACGTGCACTGCCGTCTCCCCTGCGACGGCGTTCTCTGGCGTAAAGAAGACGAAGTCGTGACACCCTATTTCGGGATATGGGACAAAGCCGCCGGCAGAATAGGCAACCCCATTGCCTTCATCCCGTCCCACTACGCGCCGGCATTGCAAGTAGGTGCCTCAGAGGAAGAAACCCATACGCCCTCCGACGCCGGCACGTCACCGGGGGCGCCGGCCGCCAACGTCGACATGTCCACCGTCGGCGCCTTTGCCTACTGCATCGAGGCGACCGAGTCCCTGAGCAGGGTCACGAGCTACTTCCTTCAGCAAAAGATCAACATGCGGGACCAACGCGACATCAGTAGCTGGCTCACACGCTTCAAGGAGCTCGACCTGCGCCTGGTCCACTGGAAGATGCTCCTGCCCCAGAAATGGAAGGCCAATATGGCGCGGCAGTCGACGCGGATGGATCCCAACCTCACGCTGGCGCACGTCACGCACAATACGTCCATGATTCTGCTCCATCAGCTGATTGCCTTCCCTCCGAGGGAGTGGCCTTTCAGGGCCCGGCTGCCGAGTATTCTGAGCGCGGACACGTGCCAGGCTGCCGCCGTGGAGATTGCTATCATTGCGGAGAATTACTTGAAGCACGCGCCTGCGGTGATGCCTGTTTCGAGCCAGTTTGTGTTCTGTATCTATGTGGCCGCCAGAGTGCTCCTCCTTCAATGGCGGTATGATCTCGGGACTGAATTGGCTTCCGAGTTCTGGTCGCTGGTTCAGATTGTGAATGATATGGCGACGCGATGGGCTGGCCCGCACAGCTTAGAGCCTGCGAGAGACAACTTGGCTGGGAAGTATTCGAGGAAGCTCACAGAGATGCATTCACGTTGCCGCGATGATGCAACTTTCAACATCAACGTCCTAGGCTACACCACAGAAATCGATCACACAGCTGCTCAGGAGCCTCCGTTGTCTGCCCACATCAGACGTGATGGGACCGGGGGACACGAGGGAACCACTACCAATGGACGAAACAGGCGCTTCGCAGATACACAGGTCGGGCCCGCTGCAGGAAGTCTCGACACCATCGTCGTGGCTCAACCACTCCCATCCAACATTCCCGCATCATTTACCAATCCAACGCAGAGCGCAATGCTCCTAACCCCAGGGCTAGGCGTCAATGGCGCTGAGCCAATGGCTCAGCCCTCCCTGTACCACAGAAGCAGCGTCGGTAGTGGCGATTTGAGCAATATTTCCCAGATGCTCCTTGACCAGCAATTCATGGACATGGATAGAATCATCAGCTATGATGACGGCATTTTCGAAACTGAATACGATGGTGGAGGATGGTAAAAAGCAAGAGTCTCTATTGGTTTAAAGCAAGCCAGGTCTATAATCGGGAAACGGCACTAACACTCTACGCCAAACCCATATTCAAAAGCCTGTTTCCAAAATCAACGAGATAGTAATCACCGTAAACGAGGCCATGATTCCAGTATCTTCGTCTAGCATTCTCGTTGTTATTGGCCGTTCCGTGCTTGATGATGCCATCGAAACATCGGCCAGCGATGGCATCTTCCACTTCCAATCCCGCCTCGCTGCTAGCTCTGGTGAACTGAGATTTTTCATCTGCGAGTGAGTAATCGAGGGTGTCTCGGACGATCTCAATCGCCGCGTCGAAGAAGCGCCGCGACAAGGCATGTTCTTGAATGCCTTTGAGTGCTTGTGACAACACCAACATGCCGTTAGCAGCAATCACCGCGGCCGATGAATCTCGCAGAGGCTCCGCGGCGTTTTGTATCGGGGCATCAAAGTCCCAAAGAGGGACTCTTCGGCCTTTGGTCTTCTTTCGCTGCCCATCTCGAGAGCAACAGTTCGTCTCCTCGTCAGCCACTGGTGTATCCACACACGACGGCGCCGTGTCGAGCCTGTAAAGGAAGTACTCTGCAGCACCCATGGCAGCCTCGAGGAAAGCTCTGTCTCGAGTCCACTGGTAGGTCTGAGCATACCCCAGGATCGCCCACGCCTGGCCACGGGCCCACGTGGAATCGTTTGCGTATCCCTGTGCCGTCCAGCGCCACTTGAGATCTCCGGTAGCCGGATCGATATTGGCAACGTGGCATGTTGAGTAGAGCTGACCTCTGTATCCGTTTTTCTTCAGCGTGCTCACGGATTCTGGTCGGAGGTGCGTGTGTAACAGTGTACGGGCGTGCGTTGTGGCGATGTCGGAGAGGGTACTGTCGCCAGTATGTGCTGCAGCGTAGAAGAGCAGGTCCAGATTGCATAGGCTGTCAATGATTGCGAGGAGATTCGTCGTCATGTCGGTCACTGTGATGTCCTTCTTCAAGAGGCAGTCCCAGCTGCGAATAGCTCCAGCGGCGGGGACATAACGCGTTGCGAGAGAATGCGCAGCCCTGACGATGGAAGCGAGGCTTTTCTCGTTACCGTTCAGCTCCCAGTCCCTCTGCAGCGCTGGCATAATGATAAATCCGATATCGTGCGTGTCCGTTCGGCCGGCCATGTCGTGCAAGGGATCGGCCCAGATCTTGCATAGTCCCCGCAGATGCTGGCGGAGACTGGCGACACTGGGCCTGGGCCCGGCATTGGCGAGTCCCATCGTTTGCGGGTGCTTGACGCTTCGCTCCAATAGGGCATACAGCGTTCCCGGGAAGAACCCGCAGGTCCAGAACTCTGGATCTCGGAACTCGTACTGGCCCGCATTGGGGCCATTCTGGGGTACGATCTCTGGGAAGGCGATCGGGATCTTCCGAATCTCGCCAAAAGTTGAGGATACTTGCTCTCGGAGAGACTTGGTCGCGGTGCGGCAGAGTTTGGCTGTGATATTCTCTTCGAACAGTTCGGCGAGGTAGGTAGAGAGCGATATGGATGGTTGGAAGGCTGGCCATTCGCTTATTTCTACCGCGGCATCAGACCATGAGGTTTCACTGGTGATGTCTGCAGACAGCTCTTCTGGTGGCAGAGTTGATATTGAAAGAGGTGGTTCGGAAGACATGCTGTCGGGACGCGGAATCGTAGACAGCTTGTCCACAACGGCCTCCTGAGAGTGGGCGTGCTTTGTCATGGCCGGTAAGCTTTTCATAACAGAAGCGGCCATGCTGAATACTTCTTTGCTTCGAAATCCGAATTTGGGGTTCCAAACGATGTTTTGCTCATAGGATAGACGTGACATATGCCAAAGTTGTCATTTTGTACATCTTTCAGAAACCCGAGCCATCACATGATTGATAATCACCAAGACCTTGATGCAAACCATCAACGTCAACGGCCCGTCGGAAGCGAAGGCATCTATTCCATTGAATCGGTCCCGCGGCTGATGTCTCGGTGAAAGATCCTCGCGATGCATCCTGTGTTGGACCGCCCATTTGCGACGCAACAGTCGGGGTATTGATGCCCCTCATCCCCGAGGACAATCCTCCGAGCAAGTGTCGTTGGCTAAGTACGGCGGTCGACCACAAGGAACTTCTCCACACCCCATTCTTAGAGTCGGGCATGCGTAGACTGGGGTAGGGATTGCGGGGAAGACATCAAAGACAACATTGCTTGGCCTTTGCTACCGTCGGCGGACTACTCCAGCCTGTCAACATAGCTCTGAGAGTGATGGCTTATTTCGAAGTGATATAAAGTGTGGGGTTACATCACCAAGAACTTCACTCGGACAGTTGAGATCTTCAGAGAGACGGGACTTCTTCACTCGCCATTCTTAACCTTAGCAACGATTTACAACCTGGACTGCCTCTCAATCTCACAGGGATCTGATTACAGTCCACTATGGCGGATAGAGTCAGTTTCGACAGGACTGCTCGAAATGCGAATCCAGCTGCCACGATGAAGCCTCTCGATGACCAAGAGCTGGTTGTAAGCTCTTCGACGCCCAAGCCACAGACGAGATCATTGTGGGTCGCTTGGCTCTACATCTTTGATTGGTACCCCAGCCACTACTCCAAGGAAGAGAAGAAGTTGCTTCGAAAGCTTGGTATAGTTCCACTGATCCATATGTTTGAGTAGATGCTAATGACGGTTCTGAGCAGACAGTATTCTTCTCTCCCTGTGCTGTTTGATGTGTATGACTTTGCTGTCAACCTGTCTGTTCGTGTAAACACTAACATGAGAGCAGTCTTTTTGAAATGGCTCGACTCAGCCAATATCAACCACGCCTACGTCTCAGGCATGGAAGAGGACCTGAAACTTACAGGAAACCAGTAAGTGAGCCTCCAGTTGATATTACTGCCCCCGAGTCTGCTTGTGTCTAATGAATTTTGCCAGATACTCGCTCTTCGGAACATTCTACAACATCGGCTACCTCATCTTCGAGATCCCCTCCATGATGATCATCTCCCGCCCACACCTCACCCGCTGGTATCTCCCCGCAATGGAATGCCTCTGGTCCATCACGACCTTCGTTCAGTGCAAGCTCCGCAACGAGTACGACATTTACGGCATCCGCTTTCTCCTCGGCGTCCTCGAGACCCCGGCCGCCACGGGCGCAATCTACCTCCTAACCTCGTGGTACCGCAGCGACGAGCTCTTCAAGCGCGCGGGCGTGTGGTACGTCTCGTCCAACATTGGCGCCATGTTTGGCGGGTACCTCCAGGCCGCGGCGTACAACAACCTAAACGGCGTCGCCGGCATGGCCGGCTGGCGGTGGCTTTTTATCATTGACGGCATCATAAGCTTGCCCATCTCGATTGCGGGGTTCTTTCTGTTCCCTGGTTTGCCGACGAGTCCCAAGGTCTGGTGGCTCACAGATGCGGAGCAGAAGCTTGCTCAGGCGCGGATGAGAGATGACGGGGTCAAGGAGAGCAAGAGGATTGGCAAGAGGATGCTGAAGCGCGTCTTTACTCATTGGCACTTTTACCTCGCCGTCTTCACCTACGTCTTGTAAGTCACGAGCAGTGTCTCGGGCCGACTTTGCATGAAACTGACACTATGATCTCCGTAGCTTCCAATGCACCTCTTACGTCGCTGGCCAGATGGCACTCTGGCTCAAGCATGAGGCCACCCTGCACGGCACCTACACCGTTGCGGAGATCAACGTCATCCCCACTGGCGTCCAAGCAATTTCCATCGTGGCCGGTGTCGTTGCCACTTCGCTGTGTATGATCTACCCCATCTGGGCCGTCATGTGCGTCGTAGCGGGTATTCTCTTCTTCGCGAACGTCTGTCTCCTGATTTGGGACATTCCAACTGGGTTGCACTGTAAGTCTTTTACATCGATCTGACATGGAGAATTTTCTTGCTCATTGAAAAACAGTTGCCGCCTACTACATGCTTGGATTGACTAGCTGCGTAAGTCCCTGCTCACTTGTAAAACAACACGATTACGAATGCTTATTCTCGCAAAGTTCACACCAATCTTCTTCCCTTGGATCAACATGATTATGAAAGACGACAACGAAGCCAGAGCCTTCACTACTGGTGCCATGGTAAGGCATTAGACTACATCATCCACATCCGTCATTGTCGGAACCGCCTGCTAATAGTCTCTTCGCTCAGATGACTTGCGGTTGGATCTTCTTCAGCTTCTACCCAATCACGGTCTTCCCAAAACTAGAGGGTAAGTGACTATACACCATCACCATATCCAAGCGATTGGAAAAATTCATGCTGATATCTCAACTCCTCCATCTAGCTCCTAAATGGCGGAAAGGTTTCACTGTCAATACCACGTTCGTAGCCATCTGGTGGACTCTCTTCATGCTTGGACAGTACCTGTGGCGTCGCGATATTAAGAAGGGGAAGTACAAGACGACCGAGACGGACTCTGGCAGCGTTCAGGACATCAAAGGAGACGACATGATGCATGTCGAGGTCTCTAGCGAGAAGGACTCCAAGGTGTAGATTTTTTCCCCGACTGAGAGGGTGTTAAAGTGGTATGCTTCTGTGTAGTCTCGGAGGAAACAGTGAGCAATTAATGATCTAACCGGCTGAGAATGCTCTGAGGTGTATCTGTACTCCGTGCGCTTGTGACGGAGGTGGTTGGTCCCATGATCTGGAGCTGCCTGAGAACGGGGCGAAAGTGCCCATCTTCTAAGGGGTTTCGCATCTCTCCCCGCCTAACATACCGAAGTGGAATTCAACCCATCTTGACCACCAAATTCTGATTCTTCAGTCCTTTTTTTGATACACAGTTCAACATCTTCATGTCGTCAATTGAATGACTTACACGGAGTGGAGGTCCGTCGACAAAGCCGCTGCTACGGGGTTCGTCCGTTCAGTACGTGGAGCCTGTGGGCTAAGGTCGCGGGATTCGTCCGTTAGTGTCCTCCCACCGGGCACAACGCAACTCGGTCTGGAATTGATTCAACCACAGGACCGTTGACTGAATTATTAGGTATCCAAACGTATCAGTATCACGGCTCTTACTCTCGGTTCTCAAAGACGACATCAAATTTTCCAGCGAAAGAAGAAACTCAAGGACTTAGCCTACGTCGTTCACTCGCAACATATCTACAATGACAGTCGTCCACATAGGTAACCCCCCAATACTCGCTTCCCACGCCTCACACCGTCGAAACAAATTCTAATCTTAATCCCCTCGAAGTTTTATTCAAGTTCCGCTCCGATGTCTCGGAAGACCACAAATCCACATTCGTCCGCGAACTCAAATCCCTCAAATCCCTCCCCTGCGTCAAAGACCAACGCCTCATCGTCGGCGGGCCCTCCATCACGGATCCCATCGAGAGGAGCAAAGGCTACCACTTTGCGCTACTGAGCTTTCATCAAGACCGAGAAGCGCTGGAGACGTATCAAGCTAGTCCGGAGCATCACAGGTAAGAAGCAGCTCACCCCGCGTTTTCTTTAAGGAGCCTCGAGATGAATATGAAGCTGAACCAAGGAAATCTTTCGCAATTTTATAGAGTAACGAGTACATATTTGTGGCCTTTCAAGGAGGATGTAACCAGATTTGACTTTGAGGTTGATCAGGAGGACGAGTATATGTGCGAGTTTATGGCCAAAGGGCTGGCAAATGGGTCGGCGTAGGCTAAGAGGACTGGCGTCCAGATACAGGTCGGATCGTAATCAGAATAAAGACTTGTTAGAAATCCAAGCTCAAGCATAAGATTCTCATCAATACTATTAAATGATGTTAAACTTCTGTTGTCCAGGCGCGTAAAGTAGTTTTTTTGCGCTGGCCCATATTACCATTTCTGATGTGACTTCGGTCTTGGAACTACTCCCTCAGGTCGCAGAAACGACTTCTCGATCCTGCGTGACAAGGTCTTAAGTGATACAGTACTTATACATAATATGATGAATTGCAACTCTAGGTACGCCCCGTAGACGAAGTAATCCCCCCATCAACAACAATCTTCTGGCCCGTGATATATCTCGCTTCATCAGACGCCAAAAACGCCGCCGCATTCGCAACATCCCACGCATCCCCCACCCGTCCCATCGGCACCTGCTCCTCCCTCATCCTCTTGAACGCATCATACCCGCCGCCACCACCAGGCTGCCCGTCCTTGGGCGCAAACCTCTCCGCCAACTGCCTCGTATACGGCGTCTCCATCAACCCAGGCACAACCGTATTCAACCGCACCCCTCGCTTCGCATACACTACAGCCGTCGCCTTGACAAACTGCATCACAGCCGCTTTGGTCGTATTATACGCAACCTGCGGCTTACCAATATACCGCAAACCCGCAATACTCGACACACAAACAATACTTCCACCCCCCTCCTGCGCCTCCATGACAGGCAGAACGTGGTGACACGCGAGATACACGCTCTTCAGATTCAACTCCACCTGCGCATCCCACGTCTCTTCTTCCATACTTGCCGCACAACCCGGTTGCGACCCGCCGACGTTGGCGAGCAGAATATCGATGCGGCCGTGCTTCGCGACGCACGCGTCCACGAGCCCTTTGACGGACGCGGAGGACGTGGCGTCGGTCGCGACGACGTCACATACGCCGCCGGCTTGCTCGATGGTGGTTTGAGTCTTGGTGGTGGATTCGACGGTGCGATTGCCGCCGAAGATTGCGGCGCCTTGGGCGGCGAAGGTCACGGCGCAGGCGGCGCCGATGCCCCAGCCGTCTGTGCCTGATTGGCCGAGGCCGATGACCAGGGCGACTTTTCCTTGGAGGTTGAGCATGGCGATGGTTGGATTTCGGGGCGGAAAAGGTTTTGCTGAAGCGGAAAAGCGGGTGGTAATGTTCAAGCTGCAGCGAGATGCCTTCGGCGAATGTGCTGAGATACCGAACAAAAAGTCATCTTGAAGCTGGATATAAGTAACAATGATGCATGTAACTACATGTTCTATGCATCAGGCATATCTCAAGGTCCTATGAGGACATGTCCGTCGACGGTACCGTTGTCCGTGACCACTTAGACGGAGAAATCCCGACGGCGCCGAAGACGATGCGGCCGCTTTGCTCCCGTCGTCTTATTACCGAATTGGACCGGGCGATTACGACATGCGGAGTCCCCGCATCTACAACACGACTCCGGATAAGTCTGGTTCGGACCAACCATAAGATGAGGAATTGTAATTCCCGCCGTCGCATTACATCGTTCTTTCGAGGTGTCTCTTTACACTCGAAGACAAGAAAATCACAGCAGACATGAGCGACCAAACAGCAACCCCAAAGAAAGAAGACGGCAAGGCCCCGGTGACGGGAGACTATGACCTCTCGACACCAATTGACCCCAACGCCCCGGGGTTGAGGCAGGGCCTGACATCCTATGGCGACGCTCATTTCTCGCTGTTTCTGCGCAAGGTATTTATCAAGGCTCTTGGCTACAGTGAAGACGCGCTCTCGAGGCCCATTATTGGCATCGTCAACACCTACTCAAGCTTCAACCCGTGCCATGCAAACGTCCCACAGCTGATCGAGGCCGTGAAACGCGGCGTCCAACTCAATGGCGGGCTGGCGATTGATTTCCCCACTATCAGTATCCATGAGAGCTTTGCGTCGCCGACGAGCATGTATCTGCGGAATCTCATGAGTATGGATACGGAGGAGATGATCAAGGCGCAGCCGTGTGATGCGGTGGTCCTCATCGGAGGTACGTGAGCTCTATTAAACTAGATTGGAAGACGAGATGAGTATTGACTGATTTGGACAGGTTGCGATAAGACAACTCCTGCGCAGTTGATGGGCGGCATATCTGCGAACAAGCCTATCCTACATCTGGTCACTGGCCCCATGATGCCGGGAAGCCATAAAGGTGTGAGAATCGGTGCTTGCACAGACTGCCGTAACAACTGGGCTGCTTATAGAGCTGGCAAGATTGATATCGAAGATATCTCGGCTATTAACGACGAGCTGGCACCCACGGTAAGGATACTCCGTCACTCGAATGAAAGTCTCACCTGCTGACCTCCGTGACAGGGAGGTACTTGTGGTGTGATGGGCACCGCATCGACGATGGCCTGTATCCTCGTCGGTCTAGGAATGATGCCGTTTAAAGGTGCTACAGCTCCAGCGGTCTCATCAACAAGACTGCGTATCGCCGAACAGACTGGAGGCCTAGCTGTGGCCCTCCATCAGAAGAAGCTCAAACCGCAAGATCTGCTTACCCGCGAGTCTTTTCTGAACGCAATCACCGTCTTGCAAGCCATTGGCGGGTCGACCAACGCCGTTGTACACATGATGGCCATCATTGGTCGTCACCCTGCTGTAGCCGGCACAATCACGCTCGACACATTTGATGAAATCGGAAGAAAGACCCCGTTGTTGGTCGATCTGAAGCCTAGCGGACAAAACTACATGGACGATTTCCACAATTCTGGCGGCATGCTGGCGCTTTTGCACCAACTCAAGCCCCTTTTGCATCTGAACGCCATGACAGTAACAGGCAAGACGCTGGGAGAAGAGTTGGAACGTACGCCATTCACCCCTATTCCACGGGATAGCTTGGTCAACTGTCTTCAGCCTTTCAACGATCCCCTATACCCAGCTTCGGCCCTGGCCGTGCTCCGTGGCAACATTGCTCCAGGCGGAGCTGTAACGAAGCAGAGTGCGTCAAAATATCGCCGGCTATTGAAGCACTCCGGCCCAGCAGTCGTCTTCGCTGGCTCCGCAGACATGGCTCTCCGAATTGATGACCCGGATCTCGAGGTGACGCCAAATAGCGTGCTTGTACTCCAAAACATCGGGCCTGTGGGCAACCCAGGTATGCCAGAAGCAGGCCTTATCCCGATTCCCCGAAAGCTCGCAGCTCAAGGAGTCGAGGACATGCTCCGCCTATCTGACGGCCGTATGAGCGGTACGGCGGGCGGGACTATCGTTCTGCACATTTCTCCCGAAGCGGCAGACCCCGAATCGGTTCTCGGCATCGTCAGAACTGGCGACATCATAACCTGCGACGTGGAACAACGTCTCATCAAAGTCGAGATATCCGACGAGGAGATTAAGAGGAGAATTGTCGCGAAAAAGGAAGCCTTGGCCAAGGAAGAGGAAAGTGGCGGCAGCAATGCGCCTTGGGTGGCAAAGAAGAGAATTCGCGGTTATCGAGGACTGTATCTGCGTTCCGTCATGCAGGCAGAGGGGGGAGCCGATTTTGACTTCCTGACGGCGAATGGTCCACCCCAATAGTCTTAGACAATCAAGATGCAAATGACTCTTGTATAATACATGCTCATGAACAGGACTGGATATCAGGTGAAGCTCGGATAAGTTGGTATAAAGTCATCAAACAGGCCTCGCATGATGCTATCCAGATTCGCGTTGTCGCCGGTGTGCATTGGGTCACCAAACGCAGTATTGGCGAGAAACGATTCGAATGGATCTTGATGCAGGAAGCTTTCTGAGCCACTTTCAGTCGCAGAGCCCAATGGCAGTGGTTGGGCAAAGCCTTCTGAGAAGTTCAGTCTGTGGGGTTCCGCCCCAACA